TCGGAAGAATGCCAATTCATGAGTGAAACGCTATTAATGCTGAAGGCTATTTTCGAGCCCAACCGAATAAAAAACCCTCTACTTCAGAAGTTATGAAAGATAGTCAGTCGATAACTCAAGATAAAACTCGTGCGGAGCCACCCACTCACCGTCACCCAGTAACGTCGGTTCCATATGCTGCCGTATCGAAAGGTTAGCGTACTTTTTGACTTATCAGATAGCATCAAATGTTCAACATAGAGTAGTCAATTAGTGATCTGAGCGAGTAATGCAGTAACGGGAATGAAAGTGAGGTATAATCAAAAAATAGAAGGAATTAGTGACCACCAGTACATAAACAAGCTGAGTTATGGAAAAACGCCTACTGCCGCGCACGATTCGACCCGCCCGCACTCGCGCTCTTGTGTTTTCCGGTCCCCCTACCCTTACCTCTCACACCACTATCAAGAAGGTAGCGGAACTCCCCCCTGATTTCCCAAGTTCGCTTTGCGGCATGCGGCAAATCTTTTTTACTTGACTCGCGGCTTCAAACTGCAATTACCATTCCCGGCCTGACTTCCTGCCAATCGGTAAGACGCCGTATTTTTCAATTATTGCCTTTCTTTTTTGATTGGTTTCGATTGTTTCTTCCTGTTTCTTTTTTGTTTTCATGTTTACTAGAACGATAGTTGACGGAATGACTCCTTCTCTATATTCGACGATCAAGACCGTCCACTCTCCACTTTCTTCGATCCCGATACGGTCTTATCAACATATCGGACCTCACCAAAAAAGCCGGGTGCGCTTCGTTACGCGCGTTCGTCGAAATAAGGTCGTGCCGCAGCCGTCTCACGCGGCGCGTCAGCCCGCCCCGCGGTTTTTGACAAAGGTCGCAGTTGTCAGCGGGGCGTACGAACTGTGCTCGGTCCACGGCACTTAGCTTAAACTGAAGATAACACGAACTGGTGCAGATCATTAGCTCCATTGACACGTAGTGGTACTGTAATGTCACTTTGAGGTCGCAGAGAGCGCGCGAAATGGGCGGGGTGATCTAAATTCGACGGACGCGCGTAAAGCACGTTCCCGCAGAAACCCACATCTTAGGCTAGAACAGAATTTTATTACTTACCTTAAAATGAGGAGAATACGGTAGATACTTTTCACACGCATACACCATAAGATCCCGCGAATCCGTAGGCCTATGGTCGTGGCATATGTTAAATGGCTGAAATAGGAACAGTGAAGTTATTTTTTAGAAGATGGGATAAAATTCGGATCAGGAGTTCGGATTTGGTCTATAGCATAAAATACACAGTAAAAAATATTTGCAACTCAATTTGGTGGGAGAGGGAGACGACCTTGTGATCTGAACTACCTCTTTGCGAGCTAAAGGAATGCTATGAATGGGTAAAATATTGAGTGATCTCACAACTGAGTACCTAGATCTTGATATTTATTAATTTTTTTCCTTCAACGCACAATGTAAGTGAGTCGTGATGCCATTTCATGTAATGCTATGCATCCTTGATGGATGTTGGGGGCGACAAACTTATTTGCACTGAATGAGTAACAAGCTCTGCAATCGTAAGCAATATCTGCTACTATCCACGGAGGTGCCTATGGTGCCTTCCCTTCAGAGGAGCTGAGTAGAGCACTTCGGCACCTCGGAACAAGAGTATACCAACTTCCAACGTTCGACCGACATGCAAAACGGAGCAGCGGGAACATAGTCTAGTGGACCATGAAGAAAATGAACAGCACCGTTACACTCGGAATCCGGCCTATGCTGGGAAGCTCAGAAAACTCAAACCTGACTTGATCATATTGAGGAAAAATCAAGAGTTTAAAACCTGAATCAAATAAAGGTCTCCCCTCGACGGTCCCCTGATCACGTACGAATAGTTTACGTATTTCTCTGGTCTTTTCACAATATGGCTTAAGCTGTGGGCTAACTACGAGGCTGCAAACGTTTTTTATTTGGAGAGAGCAATATCTGCTACTATCCCCGGAGGTGCCTATGGTGCTTCCCCTCCAAAGGAGTTGAGTAGCGGAACATGAGTGTACCAACTACAGTGGAGCATGAAGAAAATGAAGGGCACCATTACTCTCGGAATCCGGCTTGAACTGGGAGGCTCAGAAAATTCAAACATGACCTGATCATATCATGGAAAGATCAGGAATTTAAAAACGGAGCTTAATAAAAGTCTCTCCTCGACGGTGCTTTGATCACAACGAACCGCTAACGTCTTTACCTGATCTTTTCACAATGTGATTCAAGGTGTGGACTAACTACGAATACCGCAATCGTTTTTTATTTGGCAATTTTTTTTGTCTGACACATCGACCATTAAACTCCCTCCGAGCCCCTGAGCCTCCACATTAATTTCTGAAGAGCACTACATCAAAACAAACTTTTCAGGTACAGGGTTCGCTTTGAAACGTCAAATACCCAAAGTTTAGGTGATCGACACTTAAAACTTACCGATGATCGTGAAGAACTTGCCATACTTTCTCGGTTTGACTCATACTCGAGTTCTAAGTCACCAACAGCGAAACGTTCACCATCATCGAGAATCGCGCATGTTTCGTCTCTGAACACCAAAATTTCATCGTTGTATTTTGGTTCAGGAGCAGATACACGTCGATAATCAAAAACTATTTAGTCATAAGTTTGCTTCTAAACTGTCCTTCCGAAGGTTACTGTGTTTAGGTTAACTTCCCGATCAGCATGTTTCCTCCAACGCCTACTGGATTGATGCGCAAGTTTCGCCCCTATTTCAAAAGGGCAAACTATTGCGAAACCATCCGTATGCATATGGTAAGTACAGTGCACCCGTACGACTCGCTACGAATCTAAATAAGAAGGAGCCCTTGCTTCAATGTCGCATAAATGCTTTCAATTGGAAGTTTTGTTCTTTGACCAATTATTCACAAACCAGTACCTCACAAAGCAGCCAATCAAGAAAGCCACGGCTATCATTGGTGCAATTGAGGCAATGCCTGAGCCTACAGTGTCCCGCTGCTTAGGTGGCTTTAGATATAAAAACGGGCGTCTTGCTCACGTGAATCTCCCGTGATCAATAAAGTGATGAAATGCTAGGCCGAGAGCTTCCATGCAGGAAATATTAGCAATGCTATGGCTATCCCTCATGATGGTTCTACTTAAATACCGTTGCGGTCTGTAAAAAGGGTTACACAGTTAGGTTGTCTCAGGCTCCAGATGTATCAACTGTGTAGGTTTCGGCGTCAATGTTTGTTACGTAGTTCCTGTTTGAGAACACCTCTGAGGAGGAACGTTTCCGGATAACTTTCGTTCAGAAGGCAGAGAAGGGATCCGGCTATGTACCTGCAGGGAATACGGTAGCGCCGGAAACTAATCTTAGGCGGAACACGGTGTTGTTCTACTCCTGGTGGAACGATGGTGGCAGTGATATGGAATGCTACACTCAGAGCTGCTGAGAAGTGGTGTTACCGAAATAGCCGCTGAGCACTGCAACGAACCACAAAAACTCGCAGGGAATTCGGAATTCAATCCAAAAAACCATGGAAGTGAGAAACAAACTGCAGATAAAGTCAACGGTGTAGGTTTCGCCGCCACTCCTTGCAACGTAGTTCTTGTTTGAGAACACTTCTGAGGGAGAATGTTTCCGGATAACTTTTGTTCAGAACGCATGGAAGGGGACGCGGCTGCAGGGAAAACGGTGGCGCCGGAAACTAATCCTAAGCGAGACATGGCGTTGTTCTGCTTCTGGTGGAAAACGCAGTGTTATGGAATGCCACACTTAGAGCTGCTGAGAAGTTGTGTTATCGAAATAGCCGCTGAGTACTCGAACAAACCACAAAAGCTCACTGGGATTCTGGGATGTAATCCGAAAANNNGTAGGTTTCGGCGTCAGTCTTTGCTACATATTTCTCGTTTGAGAACCCTTGCGAGGCAGACTTTTCTAAGAAGCTTTTGTTCGAAATATAACACAAGGGACATGTCTGGCTGCAGGGAAGACGGTAGCGCCGGAAGCTAATCCTAGGCGGAACATAGTGTTGCTCTGCTATTGGTGGAGAGTGCAGTAGTATGGTATGCCTCACTGAGCTAGTGTAAGTGGTAATACGGTAACAGCCACAGAGCACTCCAACAAACCACAAAAACGCCCTGGGATTTTACCTAGGAAAAAAAATAAGGAAATGTGAAACTAAGTGATAACGCTCGCCAGCATGTTTAAAGGATCACCCAGGGGAAACCGCTCTTTACAAGAGAAGTTCTGTTTCAAATTGGATGTTTTTCAGGCGAACACAGTCCAACTGCCACTGTCACGGGATCATGAACCGTTACCATTCGGAAGAGAAAAGATTCGATTATTCTGCTACATTCGAACCCTGTTTTCACAAAAATTTCGAACCGCAACAAAGCCCTTCGAGACGGACGGACGTCGAGCAACTGCCGAGGCATCGGTGTCAAGTGGTAGAAAACGACAGCGCGTGTATTGTGCCTCAATTCCCAAATGTAGAGTTGAAGGACCATCAAGTTAAATGGTCGATGGTCAAATTTTTAGGTGACTACTCGTTATCGATTTCGGCGCGCCGGGACACCTATGTAAGGGCGGACCGACGCCATTAGTTCGTTATTAATTATTTCTTTTCTTCGGGAGTCTCTCCCGCATTAGTGTTTTTTTTTGTGTTTTGTTTGGATAAAGCACTTATCCTCGTGTTCGCCAGGAACATAAGAACCCGCAAAACTCACATGGGGGCCGAACCGAAGGACCTGGTCGAGCATTAATATAAGTAAATTTGTAGCACTAGAAGCGGAGTTGCCCTCCAGCTTCTGAGAGTGCAACCAGCTCGTGTGTCGTCAGTCGCGGCCCCAGCCAGCGGGCCCCCCACACAGCCACTGACTGATTGATTTATAAGTACTAGCTAGTGGATAGTTAGTTACTTTGGAATTACTTCGATTCCGTACTCGCGTAAATCGAGACTTTCTCCTCTAGTGGCGATATTGGATTATCTATAGAGAATTCTCGTTTCAGATAATGGCCGAAAACGAGATTGATAAAGAGATCAAACAAATGTTGTCATTCGAGAACAGGGACGACGATAGAGTCGCCAACCTACAATCCCAGGTGGCAACGCTGATGGAGCAAGTAGAAAAGCTCACTCAACAGGCTGCCCAGGTGAAATCTTCAGTAAACATTGTACAAAATGAGGTGCACATTGCCATTGCCATTGGCAGAGCGAGTCCAACAGGAGATATGGAAGGACAATAGAACACGGGCAGCTGAAAAGAACCGTGATGAAGTAGCTCTGACAGACTCAAAACTTGCGGGTGACAGCTGTGAGATCATAAACAGAGAAATGCCAAAAATTAAACAATTGGTAGATCATCTCCTTCTGTGGGAGAACTACATTTGGGAACAGCTGATAAATGAGCCTAAAGAACTTCAGGCACAAGCACTACTCGATGATCAGTGTATGAGAAAATTAGCGCGCTTTTTGAATGTAGCGTCAACTGAAGTTGTCAGCACAGTAAACACCTACTTTGGCAAACATGGAAAACACAAGGAGCCTTGTTCGAAAACCCCGAACTTGGCCCATCCTGTCGGGCATGAGCGATCTGAAAGTGCTAATAGGCAATTGTTTTAGAGAGAACAGCCCATGGAAGCGGATAACACGAGCACTAGCACAAGCTTCAGAATGTCATGAAACAAGTGCGAGAACGGGATCGCGCCCCGTTTGCAGAGCTCACACCTTTCGATTTAGCTGAAGCTGAACGAAGTCAGTTTAATCCCTTTAAAACAGTTAGCTACTGTACTCCGGTATCTCAAAATGACGACCTTGAATTTGTTAACAATGCCTTTTTACAGTCGTCACGAGGGAAAGAGAGGCCACTAACCGCACCACCGACGCAGAGCAGCCAAGGTGTGTTTCCATCCTTATCACGATTTTCACCGCAAATGAATATGGGTGTAACTTTAGCGGCTATGGCGTTACCGGAGGTACCCCCCCCCCCTTCTCACTTCCTCAGGGAGAGGGGTTCGAACATTTCATAACTTCTTTTCATATGAAATATGGTGGATTAGGCCTACAAGATGAGATGCTAATTCACCTTATGTGTTCAAAACTGCACGGGTATCCGAAAGCAGTTGTGGAAACCCTGCCTCGTAGTTCGAAAGAGGGTAGTTATGTTAACTTTGTGGAGGCTCTGCGAGCCAAACTCAAGGAAAATGAAGTTGCTCAACGCACAGAGACATACATAAAGTTGAAACAACTTCGGAAACGTTCATCGGTAACAGATTACTGTCTTGAACTTGAGGACTTATCTCGTAAGGTATACCCAGATGCGAGTGAGAAAGAATTATCCATGATTCGCGCAGGGGAGTTGATGACACAACTCACAGAATGGAAGGAATATGTCCAACTCTTCAACACTCTAGAGCAATCCAAACAGGAAGAAGCCTATGAGAAACTTAAAAACCTGGCACAAAGCATTGAGCGAAGCCAACAAGTGGCTAAAGCGGTGCGGTTCTCTCTCAGAGCGAGCCAGGAAAACAACTTGAGCTCTAGACAAAGCGAAAACCGCGATCATATTCCTTCTAATAATTTCTAGAATGAACACCAGCTTCATACCGTAGCATGTTCGTTTTGCAAAAAGCAAGGGCATTTCAAACGGGACTGCTGGAAGGCTAGAGGTGCTCGCAACAAGGAGTGTCCGGCGTTACCATCGTCAACACCAGGCAACTCTGCACCCTTCGACAGACAATCTTCCCGCCGTAATCAAAAAGAGCAAGCCCCAAGAGTTCAGACTTTTACCAAAACACTAGACAAGTGGGAATGTGGAGAGATACAAGTCAAAGCGACTGCACAAAATGAGCTTTTCGGCAAACAGACGGTGGCCAAAGTAGATCTCTGGGACATGTCTAGAAATGCTTTATTGGACACTGGATCCCAAATCAGTATCCTACCGCTAAAAATGCTGCGAGAAGCGCAAAGAGCAGGATTTGACATCGATAAAGATGCCGAAGAGATTCCAGTTCCTAATCAGAGAACAATTTATGACGCATCAGGAAACCCAATGGAGTTTAAAGGTGCGATTCGTCTTACTATAGAGACCAAGGATGTAAAACCACAAAAAGTGGCTATGTTTGTAAGGAAATCAAATGATAACATGATAACTCTCGGAACCAATGTTCTGGAAAAATTGAACATAGTGATGAAAGAACAAAACGACGCAAGGGAACAGAAAAACCCTAGAAGGAGATGTCGAAATCAGCAAAACTTCCTGGGGCAAAGCAAAAAGCCTAACAAGCACAATCCCGAGGCGCAACGAGCTGTAGTAGTACGACGAGCTGTAGTGAGCCGTATTGTGAGCCGTATTAGTGAGCAAAATCAAAGGGCTCGTGAACGCATGAAACAAAACCACGGCAAAATAAAAAAGGTTTCGGAGCGACCATCCGCCGTAGGGGAGAGAGTGAGGATCCCCATGGGAAAAGCCTCGTCGACCCATCCTAAGCTAGTAAATGAGTGGAATGGACCATTCAAAGTCACTGGTGTCAGCGACGACAGCGCCCTGGTCGTACCTGTAGCGGGTAACGCTAAGCCGCTAAAGGTGCATTTTAATCTGCTCAGGGAGTTGCCGGTAGGCATAGATAATGGACCAGTACAAACTGTCATAGAGAGAAGAAAAAGAGACAGACCCAAAAAGAGTAGAGATATTTACTCTAAAACGGCGTGTTTCAGAATCGACGTTGGGCCACCGAAGGAAGACCCATCGCGTCTGTTCCATCCGGTTACGGAAAACATCTTCCGTACTAAGGCTCAACCTGCCCTGCCCAGTTTACCTTCCGAAGTCGTTGAGGAGCTTACAGGACCCGCTAGAGGATTCGATGCACGTGTGTCGATGCGTATGAAACGATCGACACGACGGTGTCATTGGGACACTCTGCTACGAGCCTCGGAATCAGCCCAAGACGTGATGATGACAGATTCCATCCATGGCAGTGTGCGGTGTTCCTGAAGCAAGTCAGAAAAATTGCCATGAGCACACTGTCGTTACCAATATTTTTTCCAGCCAAGCGAGACAAGAAAGACGATGCCGACACCAGCACCAGTGCAACCAAGCCCAAGGACGAGCAGCCGAAGAAGAAGCTGAAGATTGTCAAGCCGCACGTGATGTATGTACGAGACGCCAAAACCGAACGGAGACGCCACGCGCACCTCATGAAGCAGAAACGGGACAACAAAGCACTTGTAAGCCGTCGGAGCCTGGCTTCCCCACAGAGGGGCGTGTAGAGTTGAAGGACCATCAAGTCAAATGGTCGATGGTCAAATTTTTAGGGTGATCTACTCGTTATCGATTTCGGCGCGCCGAGACGCCTATATAAGGGCGGACCGACGCCATAATTTCGTTATTAATTGTTTCTTTTCTTCGGGAGTCTCTCCCGCATTGTTGTTTTTTGTGTTTTGTTTGGATAAAGCACTTATCCTCGTGTTCGCCAGGAACATAAGAACCCGCAAAACTCACACAAATACTATTGAAGATTTGGAACAATTGCCGCATGTATCGCGAGACTTATGCATAAACCTGACGCAACAGCTCTTGCTATCCCTACCAGAGCTACTTCAGCCATCATCGCCTATCGTGAGACTTATCCCCGGAGCGTAAAGGGTGGACCATTAGTCTCTATGTGAATTCTTCTACAGGAGATGGACGAAACTGGAGAAACGGAAGAAAACGAACAACACATTGCGCACCGAAGTGAGCCTCTTCTAAAACTTGTCCCATAAGTTGTCGCTTGCTCTACCCTGAAATCCACGCATTACACTCCAGTCGCATACCCGTATTAATTGTTGGATCAAAAATACGTTGTAGAATGTTCTGCTGACCTGAGACCTTCGTCGCACCACTCGAGACTCACTTGGGATGTCGTGTCCGATTCACGAAGCGGATTCAGAACATGCCTGAAAGCTGAGTTCTTAGAAGATGCATTATGCCCTGGATTTCTTTGAGAATAACGTGGTTCAAGAAAGCGCTGCAAGGAGCTATTAGAGTGTCTATCGAAGGAGAATTTTTATTATTCATAGAATATATTTGTCTATAATACTCATATTCGAAAGATTCTTTTTGATGATTATCAGCGCTAAGATATACTGATGAAAAGCTCTGAAGAGCACCACCGATAGCACCGGAAGGATTATGGGACGTCTTGCCGAGGCACATGTAACCAAAAATAAGTTGCTAATCGACGAATTTAAGTCGCGCAACTATTCGTCTGTTTTCCGTCGTCTTGTGATCGAGCACAGTCCAAGCGAATGTTATTGGAGTATTTCTGGGGACCTAGAAAACATGCTGCACTTAGAAGTGCGACTCCTAGAATCGAGTCTTCGCTCAATCAGCGTCTAAGGACTATTCCTTAGCATAGATCCAAGGCAAAGTGAAGCAAGTTCGTCCCAAATGAATAGCGGGAAGTGATTAACCCAATGGCGACGCGCGTTTATATTGTCCTTACATTGACCTTTATTTTCTCTTGTATCTGTTGTATCTGTAGTTAGTAATGAATGATTCCTGGACCGCAATGCTTCAATATTGAGCTCTGCTGATACATGAACACATGAAAAAATTATAGGAACACCTGATAAATAATATAAATACCCCAGCCAGCCAAAAACGTGCGTCCTGGCATCGGGACGCATTGTCGCCAACGTGTTAATCATGGCAGCCAGTTTCGACATTGCTGTCATTGATACATCACTTAACAGTTACAGGTTATGCCATAAATTCGGTAATATTAACAATGAAATTGAGCTACAGTAACCGCAATTCACATCGAAACATGACGACTTTATGTGAACTATTCACTATGCAGCGCACCTACAAAATCGAAGTACGGTCATCTAATACAACCGTCAACTCTGCTGTTCTGAGCTGAAAGAGCTTTCGGCTACTCATTGACGGCTGCACGCAGAGTTTCTTGAAATTCTATAGTACCGGCTTTTTTCGACGACTTCGTAGAAGCAGGAGCAGTGGTGCATTTCAAAGTCGTTAAATTTCATTTCATTGCGTTTTCCCCTGGAGTCAAGACTATCCCACCGATCCATTGGGATGCAAGTCGGGAAATTCATAGGCCGACTGGAAGAAGTGATAAAACTGCGAACATTTACTCAGCAGCAGTCTTGATAATTTTTCATTCAAGTGCGTGACACAGCACAGAAGTGCACCGTTTCCAGGTGTAACTGTCTTTGACCCTCAGCAGCATCTTCTCAGAAATGTCCCTTTTGACGATATTCTGATTAATATTGATACTTTTGTCGACAAAAATAAACGATATCGCTCTGACGGCGCAGAATGCAGCCAAAACAATCATCGAAGAGGGAAAATGGCTGAAAGAAACGATCTGACCCGCCTCAACGGCTTCGCCACTCGTAGTGAGATACAAACGTGTGCTCTGGAATACGAGCATTTCTTCCACGCTGAACACCGTCCGTCAGAACGGGTGCCAAAGCGCGTGCCGCAAGCAAGTACAGCACAACATCTGCTCCTCCTCTCCTTCTTCGTGTCAGAAGAGTTATATGTCTCTCGAAACTCACCTGGATACAAATGTATTTACTCGAGAAGAATTTTCGCATCGAAGTACAACATACGTTCAATTCGGCAGTCAATCTCTCGCGTTTCAGCAAGTTCCCTAAAGTGATCATTCCCGAGCAATTGTATTCGGAAAAGGGGTCGTAACCGAGCAAAGACGGCTGACCAAAACCCATCCACGCATCGCAATTCAAAAGAACGTCATGCGAGAAATGTCGCAACGACGAGCAATCCCGAAAAAACTCACCAATCGCGCATAGAGACGGAACGACTGCTGGAGTCGTGGGGCATCATAACTTTTCAAAAAAATAAATAGAGAGCATTAAAGCAGATATGAGAGCTAAGGTATATGATAAATTGAGGAAAGGTGCAAGTTTGGAAAAATCCTCCAGAAGAAAATTGCGGAATTCCGTAAAAGTTGTTACTGCATTTATGGTGCACCCTGTATTGCTGACCTCGTTAAGCCGGTAAGGCTGCTTTCATAGTCCGCCGGTGTGCGTGCCGAGGCAGTGCTAGAGGGTAGGGAAGGCGAAGGGCTGAAGACAAGGAAGAACAAGATCAAAAACTAAACAACCAGGGGCTTGTACAAATGGTTTTTGATCTTGTCTCTCTTTGTTTACAGCCCTTCGAAGGGGCTGACCTACCATCTGCCTCCCTCCCTCCCACCTCCTCCCCCCACCAGCACGCCGGCGAACAATGAAAGCAGCCTAAGTGTAGTCTGGACCGTCAAAAAGATTTTTATTAGCAATTGAGCCTGTCCCTCTCTCCGGAACTACAAATTTTCCGCCTGTTGCGGTAAAATTCCCATTTGCCACAAGTACGTGGAAACTCCGCATTTGTTTGGTAAATTTGCTACACTGATCATGCCAGCAGTGGCACGTCTCAATTCCAGTCATTTACTTCGTCCTTTTTGTTGGACGCACGAGATTTTCAGCTACGTTTCAGCCGTCGCCGTTTAATTTCCCTTCACATGTCTCACATCAGGCTCTATACTAGTAAACAATGCAGTGTCCCCAAGCTCAACTCGAATAAGCAAAACTCTCAACTGCATACACCCGATACTTCCGTCTTTATCCCTCCCAATTTCTAGGGGCAGGACAAAGCAGAGCCTCTGCGCTTTATCAGAAGCGGTTTGTTGCGGTTTGTTATCGCCAAGAGATTACGTATTTTGCTGGAGTTAGGCACAATGAACCCACCAACTTCAAACCCATATAAGCCGATTGAACGAGAAGAGCTTCGAGATTTGGGGTTGAAACACATTAAAAAACTATGTTGAAGACAGTGATTGTTCTAGCTGAGAAAATGTTTCTGCTTTTAACATCAATTTCTGCGCTTAAGCTTTTGAATCGAGTACCAATGCATGGTCGTGAAAAACGTACAGAGATTATTTTCATGAGCGGAGTTCGTATCTCAGGATATTTCGAGAGTGAATGTCGAGATATTTCGAGAGTGAATGTCGAGTTTCAAATGAGCGAAATATACCGTAAATCTTTGTTTACAATTTATTTACTCCCATCTACCACGTCTACGAAGTGGAGCTCAAGTCGGTGGTGCTTTCAGTCTATGTGAAAAGTTTTAGGCTGGCAGGAAAATCCTGCGACAGAAAGGTTATTTTATTCAACAGATTATAAAACTTTCTTAACTTAAAAAGGAATCACTGCTGCTATCCGCCCAGAAGTCAGGAGACTGTGATCAGGAGACTGTGACTCCAAAAGTCACTGACTGCTAATTCTAAATCATTGTAAATTTTGAACTCTCCTCATCGCAAGCGGTGCTTGAGCGGCCTGAATAAGTGTTAATCGGAAGGTGCAAGGCCAGGGGGACGGAGGGTGAGCAACTGGATGACAGCCGAGCTCAGCGAGTCTCAAACGTGGACGCGCGTTTTCATAGTGGAGGCACACTTTTGATCGTCTTGGACGTTTTTCTCTATTAGCATCGGCCAATTGCAGGAGCTGATCGATGCAAACGGCAGCTGTGACAGTGGCTGCTTTCATAGTCCGCGATTCTTGCGAGCGAGCGACCGACGGACTACTCGTCCGGCTGTATCGACCAAGATTCAGTTGTAAACAAGGGACAAGCAAAGCCCCAGGTCGCTTGCTCGCATCATCGCTCGCTCGATCGCTCGCTCGCGTGCCGAATCGCGGACTATGAAAGCAGCCGGTCTTACCAGCGTTCAGTAACTCGAAGTAAACCAGTCCCATCATATCCATATAAGTTAAAGATATTTGCGTTGGTGAGGGTTTCACTTTGACTGAGTTGGTGGCTAGACGCCGCAAGGGGGTCAAACAGTAGTGTAGCCACTGTCATTATAGAATATCCAGCTTTCATGACATTAGATCTGTGAGACAGTTCATACGATTCGGCTGCAAAAACGCAGATCCGCGACGTTGACAAGGACCTGCTTCTTGTATCTGTCAGTCGACGGGAGATCCATCATAAGTACATTTCGATAATCTTGGATATATAACCGTGGTAAAGGATTTCGTACTTGCAAACTAACGTGTAGCGGCTTCCCAGTTTACTAGGACAGCACGTAATTATTCATCGCGAGCGATGGTACGTGCTCGTCCACTGCGTTCCTTACCTTCGAAGCTGGTGTCTCCTACAGCGTAGCGATTGTTTAGCGTACCGCTTCACGGTGAGCAGCGCCTCCACCCGATGATGCGAAGTTGGCGGTGAGAAATAATTTTCAATAAAGTAGCGTTCTCCCGCATACAACTGTGTTAATTGTTTATGATTATGTTCTCGTGCCGTGCGAGGTTGTTAGGTGAAACAATGTATTATTCAACGACCTAACTTCTCTACTTTTTCGTCTTCTCCAGAGGCCAAGGTTCCACCCGAATTGAATCGCTACTGACAGTCGCTTGTGGCGACAGCGCATTTGATATCTGCTTGAACGGGTGGAACCTTGGCCTCTGAAGAAGAAAAACGTTGAAACGTTAGGCAGTTGAATAATAAATTGTTTCACCTAACAACCTCGCACGGCACAAGTACATTGTAATCATAAACAGCTATGCCGAGGTTAAAGCAAGAGAGAAGTTGGGGACTGTTTTGATTGCTTTAAGGTATTCTAGCAGACTGTCACCATGGCTAATCAGTACACGCTGATTTTGTAAGCTTGCTTAGCTTGTTTAGCTACTTAAGCTATAAAATTTCGTCACAGGAGTTTCTTGCCATCGTAACAGTAAGATATGCATCCTTTCCAACCCGTTGAGAAAATCTTATACTGTCGAACAAGCTGAACTTTTCCTTAAAATTTTCATCAAAGATATTGGATGAAATCGTTGGCGCTAATCCATCCCGTATAGAAGGAGGGGGGGGGGGGGGGGGGGGGTTGAAATAGATAGATGGATAAAAAAACCGTTTCACTCACA